ATTTTTCTTTTCTTTTCTTTTCTTTCTTTCTTCTTCTTCTTCTTTTTTTTTTGGTATTCTTTAAATTTTTTCTTTAGTTTTATTCTGGGATGCAGAATGCAGTTATGATAGTTGGAAACGGTGTGATCCTTTTAAGGCTTGCTTTTAAATTTTAGGGTAAGTCTAGAAGGACTTTTAGTCTAGTTCTAATTTGGGCCCACTACTGAGGCAATGTATACTACTTCCGAGTGCACTACTTAATGCCCTGTGTATTAGGAGGTGTCTCCATTCTGGCTGGTGGGAACATGAGCTTTACCTGGAACTACTGCTTTCGATTGGTCATCTCCCTAGCCTTGGTAGTTTCATTACACAAGTGCTATCAACCAAATATGTCAGGGAAATCTTCCTGCAGATTTCCATAGCCCTCTCTCTGTGGAGTTCTCTCCTCTCTGGTACACTGCGCTGTGACTTAGAGTGTAAGTGATTTTTAAAGAATCATGGGAAGAATCTTTCTTCCTTTGTGGGCTGGCTGCTTACTAGTAACTCCGAGTCAAATTAGCTTCAGAATTCAAGCAAACATACAAGATTTTAAAGCATACATTTCATGTATAACCTCATTTGGAGCATTATCTTACTTTTCTGTCATCGTTTCCCATTTGCTTTGATATACTCATCAAAAAATATCTTATTGCATTAGAACCAGGGAATATATAAATAAATATCAAACAGTATCTGATACATAATAAATTATCAGAAGACTAAAAAATGACAGATGCTATTGAAGCAAAAAGCGCTTGTTAGGTTTGTTTTATTCACTCAGGCTAAAAGGTAGCACACAAACTTATTAACTTCTAGTAAAAATTATTTAAAGTTTAAAAACAGGCATACATTTCTAAGTTATTTAAGTCTATATCATACGGAAAATAGCCACAAACAATAATTATCTGAGCCCTGCCCATCAGGCTTCAGCAAGCTAGATGGACATTCTGCCCTAAGAAAGAGGTGCCGGGGTAAAGGTGTTCACAGTATTTCCACATTATCCTTTGAACATCTGTAGCATCCGTAGTGATGTCACCTCTCTCATTCTTGAGGTTAGTAATTTGTGTTTTCTCTCTCTCTCTGCTGATAAGTCTGGCTAGGGGTCTATGAATTTTATTAATCTTCTCAAAGAACCAGAATTTCATTGACTTTCTCTAATGTTCACGTTTTCCATTTTAATTATTTCTGCACCAATCTTTATTATTTCTTCTCCTTACTTTGGGTTTCATTTGCTTTGCTTTTTTTTTTTAGTTTCTTAAGGTACAAGTTTAGGTATTCGATTTTAAAACTTTATGCTTTTCCAATACAAGTGTTCAAAGCTATAAATTTACCTCTAAGCTACACTTAAGCTGCATTCTGCAAATTTTGATATGCCGCGTTTCATTTTCATTCACCCCAAAATACCTTTAAATTTCCTTTTGATATCTTCTTTCATTTAGGAGATTGTCTAGAAATGTTTGTTTAGTTTTCATATATTTGGCATTTCCCAGATACCTTTCGAATTGATTTTCATTGTAGTTAGAGAATATGTTTTGTGTGATTTTAATCCTTTTAAATTTTCTGACACTTCTGTTACGGCACGAAGTTTGGTCTATGTTAGTAAATGTTCTGTATACACTTGAAAGTGTATTCTGCCACTGTTGGCACTGTAGAGTATTCTACAAATGACAATTAGATAAAATTGGCTGATAGTGTTTTCAAATGTTCTATATTCTTATTGATTTTGTCTACTTGTTCTGTTAATTACTTAAAGAGAGGTGCTGAATTTTCCAACTAGGTATGTGGATTTGGCTATTTCTTCTTTTAATTCAAATAGCTTTTTCTCTATATGTTTTGAAGCTCTGTTAGTAGGTACATAGCATTGAGGATTTTTATATCTTCTTGAAGAACTGATCACTTTATTGTAAAATAACACCCTTTATTCCTTTTAAAATTCTGTCTTCTAAAATCTACTCTGTCTGATGTTATTATAGTTACTCCAGCATTCCTTTGATTTGTAATAGTGTGTCTTTTTCTTTTCTTGGACTTTTTACTTGTCTGTGTGTTTATTTATTTAAATGTCTCATCCTGTCTCCTGGGCTAGAGTGCAGTGGTGTCATCATAGCTCACTGCAACCTCAAACTCCTGGGCTCAAGGGATCCTCTTACCTCAACCTCCTGAGTAGCTAAGACTACATGCACACTGTACCACACCTGGCCAATTTTTCTATTGTTTGTAGAGATGGGGTCTTGCTCTTGCTCAGGCTGGTGTTGAACTCTTGGCCACAAGTGATCCTCCCACATTGGCCTCCTAAAGTACTAGGATTACAGGCATGAGCCACCATGCCTGGCCTAAATGTTTATTTTTGAAGAGGGTTCCTTATAGACAGCATAGAAATTTTACCCAACTAACATTCACTTTTATTTGGTATGCTTAGACCATTTGCATTTAATGGGACTTTAAAAAAAAGTTTGCGTTTAAATTTTCCATCTTGCTATTCTCTATAAATCCCATTTTTCCCTTTTTATCCTGTCTCGTTTTTGTTTTATTTTTGTTTTGTTTCATTTTGTGAAAACCCTAGCTTTACAGTATACATGTTTAACTTATCACAGCCTACCTTCAAGTAATGTTATACCACTTCGTATATGGTATAAGAATCTTACAAAAGAATACTTGCATTCACCCCCACCTTTGTCCTAGTGTTGTAACATATTTTACTTCTCTGTCTGGTATAAAGCCCATAATTCCTTGAGATTATTTCCCCTTGACATATTTCTTCTGTTTCCCCATCTCTTTCCTCTTCTTCTGTGATTCTAATTATACTTTATTAGGCTCCTTGATGTTGTGCAAAGATCACTAATTCTCTGTTTTCCTTTTCAGTTTTTTGTCTCTGTGTTTCATTTTGTGTTGTTCTATTACTGTGTCTTCAAATTCACCTACATTTTCTTCTTCAATGTCTTAGCTGCTATGAATCCTATCTATCATACTTTTTTCCTTTTGGATTTGGTATTCTTTGTAAGTTCCTTCCCTCACCCCTTCCATTTCTCTCCATATCCTGATTGGGCTTTCCTCTACTTTTTTGAACATATGATGAATATTTAAAATAGCTCTTGTAATGTCCTTCTCTACTAATTCTCTAATATATGTCATTTCTATGTCTGTTTGTATTGACTAATTTTTCTCTTGGTTATGCATTGTATTTTCCTGCTTCTTTGCATGCCTGGTAATTTTTGATTGCATGCTAAACATTGTGAATTTTACATTGTTGGTTGCTAAATTTTTCTTTTCTTTTCTTTTCTTTCTTTCTTCTTCTTCTTCTTTTTTTTTTTGGTATTCTTTAAATTTTTTCTTTAGTTTTATTCTGGGATGCAGAATGCAGTTATGATAGTTGGAAACGGTGTGATCCTTTTAAGGCTTGCTTTTAAATTTTAGGGTAAGTCTAGAAGGACTTTTAGTCTAGTTCTAATTTGGGCCCACTACTGAGGCAATGTATACTACTTCCGAGTGCACTACTTAATGCCCTGTGTATTAGGAGGTGTCTCCATTCTGGCTGGTGGGAACATGAGCTTTACCTGGAACTACTGCTTTCGATTGGTCATCTCCCTAGCCTTGGTAGTTTCATTACACAAGTGCTATCAACCAAATATGTCAGGGAAATCTTCCTGCAGATTTCCATAGCCCTCTCTCTGTGGAGTTCTCTCCTCTCTGGTACACTGCGCTGTGACTTAGAGTGTAAGTGATTTTTAAAGAATCATGGGAAGAATCTTTCTTCCTTTGTGGGCTGGCTGCTTACTAGTAACTCCGAGTCAAATTAGCTTCAGAATTCAAGCAAACATACAAGATTTTAAAGCATACATTTCATGTATAACCTCATTTGGAGCATTATCTTACTTTTCTGTCATCGTTTCCCATTTGCTTTGATATACTCATCAAAAAATATCTTATTGCATTAGAACCAGGGAATATATAAATAAATATCAAACAGTATCTGATACATAATAAATTATCAGAAGACTAAAAAATGACAGATGCTATTGAAGCAAAAAGCGCTTGTTAGGTTTGTTTTATTCACTCAGGCTAAAAGGTAGCACACAAACTTATTAACATTATGGGCTTTGGTATCAGATTTGTGTCTCAGTTCAAGCCCTTGTTCTTCCTAGCTGCCTCGACTTTCTCAGACTGAGTTTCCTCTCCCGTAAAATTGGGAAATACTATTTATCTCATAGGATTCTTGTGAGAATTAAATAATGACTATGAAAAACATAAAATCATTATCTGGCATGCTGTAAATATTAATACATTGAACATATTATTAATAGTAATAGTATTCTTGTCATTATGATTATTGGATATCTATCTTGATTAAAATTTTAAAAACTGAAACTGTTAACTCTTCACTTTACTTGTGTCCTAGCAGATACAGTCTTATTTTCTAAAAATTCGAGTCATCGTGCTAGGTCATTAATATAACAGACAGAAATAGACAGACTGACACACTTTCCTGACTTGTACAAAGTCTCATACTACAATATATTGTACGGAATTGCTTAAGATATTAAACCTTGTTCTACAATTGAATATACTTTTAAAAAAATTAGTCTAACATTCACAAAAGCTCACTTATCCACAAATTTCCCTGGCAAATAATTTTAAGGATTATTGTTGGCATATTTTCTTCTCAAAACATTGTTAGATATATGTGAAATGCCAGTGAAGTGTGCTAATACCTTTTACCACTGTTATATTATCTATGAAAGTCCAAATTAGAGGCAATAACTCAAAATGAACATTAAACCAGTAAATGCACACAGAAGCTATAATTTTCCTTGCAGACAAAAATCCTGTTTGTGGATCACCCATATGTCTGAAGCAGAAAAATGTCTTTTTGAATGATCCCTTCTACTATGTAGTTTCTCAGGCCTTCAATTCTTCTACCTTCATCAGGTGATTCTATTAATCACAGCACATCTTCAGTTGAGTGCCTGATATACACAATATATATCACATATATAAAAATATATATAATATAGAAGCATGAGAAGAATAGTTGGGTAAAATAATACAAGAGATGAAGATAAGTGTTATCATTGTGGAAGTCTGTAAAGACCACCCAGCCATATGAAAAATATAAATAATAGCTTCTAACTCTAATCATAAAACTCTGAGACCATATATTGTAGCAATGGGAATTTTAGCATAAAATGACATTATGTCAAAAAAATACTTTGAGATAGTCTAGACTTTCTTTGAATATAAGTTTATTAAAAGTGTTACTGCTTTCCTTGACTGAATTCTTGGCTATAATTAGTCAGCAAAGTAGAAAAGAAAAGAATCTCAGGAGAAAATAACCACGTAATCTAAGAATTCATAATGGTCAAGGAACGGACTGCCCGGCAGAGTCAGATACTGACCCCTACTTTACACAAGGAGTTGTTATAAAGATTTCAGGACATAGAGGTATAACAGTGTCAACACTGGATCAAATGGAATGTAGTTCAAGAAGAATGGGAAGCTCCAAAAATGAAATTCAGATTACATGTTACAGTTAATCACAATGAAAAACAGAAAGGCATTTTAAAAACTAATGGTGTTTACGGCGTTAAATATTCCAGTTTTCAAAAAGCATGCAACCAGAAACTCTATACTGGTGAACCTGATGTCAATTTCTGCAAGAGTTGTAGAGACAACCCGTATTAAGTTCATAGAGAAGAAATGATTACATGAGCCCATTTGGAGTTTCAGGTCACCACAAATGAACAACAATTTTTTAAAAAATAAGACTATTAGACTCATAGATCAGAGAAATATTTTAGACACAATAATCTACATTTTGATGTTAGCAAAGCCTCTTATTAAATCCTTGATGATAAGGTAGAGAAATATGAACTAATTAATGGGTCCATTTGGGTGACTGAACACTCAAAAAAAGTACTGCTGTCAGCCTAGCGAGGAGTCTCGTAGCCTACTGAAGTGCAAAGTACTTGCCCTGTTCAATGACAGATGGAGACATAAAAGACATACATATTAGATTTGCAAATGACACAATGCTGAGAACAATAGTTAATAGACTGTATGAAAGATTCATAATTCAAAACTATCTCTGTAGATTAATGAGTTGAGATCAAAAAGAATCATATACATAATTAGAAGATGGGAGAGATGAACCTTAGTTATAATCCATGAAGGTACTTTCCATGTGAGCCAATAGTGGGGCATAACTTTCAAAACGCTAATGGAAACTTAGTCTGCATGGATAAAAGTATTGTGCCAGTATTAAAGAAAGGAGATGATAGTTTCATGGGCTGTTCAGACCATATCTGGAAAACTGCTTTTAAAAAAAGGGAGAGAAGGAATGATGGGAGATATTAAATAATTACAGCCATCAATGGAAGGGTGACAGATTTGGTGAAGATCTTGGAAACCATCTCATGCATATCATGGTAACTCAAATTTTGAAAATGGAATCATGGCTTCCCATTGACTTCAACACTTTTATACTTTAAGTATTAGCTACAGGAAAGTGCCCTTCACTCGATTTTGGTCACATATATCCATCTTCTAAAAGCTTTCATTTAGTGTCTGCATCTTTCATTAAGGTTTTCAATAATATATTACTTTGTGGTTAATCAACATTTAATTTAATGTTCATATTTCAGTTCCCCAAGAAGACTGTAAACTCTGAGGTGTGGGAGATCACAGAGCTGTCAACTGTCAGAATCTTGCCAGTGCTGGCAAAGCTGCGGTGAGCTTTCTTGGAGATGGGTTTATAACACGGTGATGCAAACAGGACTTGTAACTTTAATACATTCTTTCTTATGATTAATACTGTTAGTGAGGAGATCGAGTTAGGACAAGTTCATGCTAGTGTGGTGAGAGAGAACTGGTTAAATGTTTTATTATGCTTTTCTTATAAATGAGTGGTTTGTATGCATGAGGAGTCAAAAACTCCTCATGGTTGTTGTTGACAGTGTAAACTGACTACACCCTAATATAAAGTGTTCTTTGGCACCACATTTAGATGCCTTCTATTCCTCTTTACCATAGTCCTTTTTCTACTTATTCCATCATAGTAAAACCAAGAAGCTTGTACTATCACTCCAACATTCCCTATGCCTGATACACTAGGGCAATATTATACATATAATAAGGGCTGGGTTAATGTTTGCCAAATGAATAGATTGTTCCTATAAATTTTTTGGAAAAAAATTGGCTAGATGCAGTTAAGCTTTTTAATTTACCAATGAACAGAATACTTACATAATAAAATATCTTAACAAATTCAGTAATCTACAGAAAACACAATCTACCAGTGTGTTACAGAGAGGAGGAGCTTTTATCTTGTGTAGAACACAAGGATTTGGTCTCAAAAGTTAGTTCAGCAATAGGCAATTTGAACACTCCTCATAAACTCAGCAATTGTATCATAACTTACTTTACATTCTTCTCTCTGATCTCTACTAGATTTTGAGAAGCTAATGGAAATACAATATAGTTACTTCTCTGGTTAAAACCAGATACTCAGGCTTAAAATTGAAGGATTTGTCCACTTGTTGAAGATGTTATGCACCCCAAGTAACTATTAATAAAAATAATTGGCCATGATATCTGAAAGGGACCTGAGGGATTCTAGAACATTTAATTTGTTTGACAGAGCAGTAAACAAATGAAACTTTATTCAAGATCCCTAAAACGATTAGTTGCGGAGGCTGTTTTTTAGCCCAGTGCTTTTAGAGTGGTTTTTCTTGCATAAGGAAAAGGATAAAGGTTAAAGACTGGAAACATTTCAAGTCCTAGGAGGGATGGGGTATTCCCCACTAGTTACCTTCTCCCCATAGATTTAAATAAGTTCTGACTCCCTACACATGAGAGTAACTTGAGTGTTTACTTTGTGATTATCTCTTTAAGATTTGGGGAATACAAGGGATTCTAACACCTATATAAAAGTTTTAACTTAATTACAGATTTTGAGGTTCATATCTATTCATCCATTCTTCCTCCTATTCAACCATTAGATCTGAAAAACACCTTAGAAACTACCTAGTCCATCTACTTTGCTTCATCTATCAAAAATTGTGATTTTCTCTTTGCAACAACGTGAAATTTCACACTATGTTATATACCACATCACCTACAGACAAGTAGATAAATTACAAAACAATTACGTACCGCATTAAAGGGAAGCTAAGTGTAACGTAATAAAATGGCCATCTCGCAGGGCTGGAGCGCCCCCTCTGTTAATCGCAAGATCCTAAATACCTAGATTTTTCGACCTCTTCTCTAAGAAGTTGTCATCCAAGGCTACTTCATTGAGACAAAAATATACTTTATTTTTTTAAAGTCCCATGATACGTATACTTATTCCTGAAGTGGAATAATTATTCCCCATTCTTGTTTCAAGTGGTAATCTTTGCTTACCCACGTACCTAGGAGGCTGGGGAGGCTCCTTCAAGTCTCTGGGTATGAGGTTATAAATGCACTCAGAAGAGCACGTTGGATCCATGGTCACCAAACGACTCCTTTAAAACTATCCTCAACTTTTGTCTCCCTGTACCAGTGTCTCCGTCCCTTTCTTCACTGCTTCCGCTTTCTTTTCTTACTCCCTTGCCTTCTCAAGAAATTCAGCTTTCTCTCTCACATAATCCCCCTCTGACTCCTTGTTAGCAGTTTTCTCTCGGGAAGAAAAGAAAAAAAACCTTTTCCATTCCTCTTGGGATTGCTTAGCGTTGTTGACGGCGCAGTTGCTGCGGCAACAGTTACTAGGCGACGGGGAAGTGGAAGGCAGCGAAGCAGTCTAGGTTCCCGCCCCTCTTTCTGCAGCGCCTTCTCCTGCCTGAGAAGTTCATATGGAAGCCACTGTGTATGTGTCTTTGGGAGTAACGGGGTGAAAATGACGTACCCTAAAAAATTGTACTCCTTTCCATCTCTGCATACTTGGAGAGAAAAATTCTGCTACGGTCGGAAACGCAACTGGTGCGCAGGCGCCACACAATAGGCCCTTGTGCGCATGCCCGAATCCCGGCGGGCGGGGCGAGCGGCTGAGGCTTCGCTGGCGCACGGCCGACGCCGGAGCGTGACGAGGGAAGGGAAGAGACGAAGGAGCTCCGAGGGCTTGGGTAGGCTGGAGCGCGGTAGGAGAGTCAGGTGCTCCGCGCGAGGCGGCTCGGACTGGGAGTGGGGCGCAGGCGCGCAGACCGGCGCAGGCGCAGACGCAGAGGCCAGTGCGCGGGGGCGGGGCCGGGGCGAGACCCACAGGTGCGGGGCTCGGTCTCCTGAGGCGGCACTAGCGACTCCTGGACGCTCCTTCCCATTTCCTTTCCTTTCCCCCGTCTTCTCAGTGTGATTTTCTTGGTGAGTTACTGGAGGAGTAAGAAAGGAAAACTAGAAACCAGCCCGTTCCCATCGCATGCTTTCCCCTCCTCCCCGGGGCTCCGTCCCTTTCTGCTGCTCGGTTGTAATCTCGCCTCCGTGCCTGCGCTCGTTAGTCCCGCGCGGCCGTCGGGGCTCCTCGCAGACCCCCGCGCAGCGCCGCCCGCCACCTGTGTGAGCGCGTCCGCGCCCCCCGGGCCGCGTGCACCTGTCGCGCCGGCCCTGCCCGGCTCCTCCCTGCGCTCGCCTGCCCCTCGCCGCTCAGTCCCCCGCTGTTTGCCCCCGGGGCGGTCCGTGGTCTCTCCCCACGGACCAATGGACCTGATCGCTGTGAACCAGCGGCCTAAACTAGGAAGAGAAGCCTTTTAAATGGGCCTTTCCATTTTTGCCCATTTTTTGGTGTCCCTTTTTAAAAATTGTTTTCTGAGAAGCGGTTTTATTCTGTTTTGCACCATTTCGTCTTCCGTAAATGTATTTATGCACATGTGACTACCAGAGGAAACGCATTTAGACGCCTCTACCCGAGTCTCTAAAAGACACTGTGGTAATATGATTTGGGAAGGAAGATGGAATGGATGGCTGTGAGCCAGCCTTGCAGAGATCACTCTGCCCAAAGGAAATAAAGCTGCCCCGAGATGAGAGAGAACACAGAGTTTGGGTTCCTGACTGCCTGGGTACCTGGTGGAGGGATTAAAACAGCAAGATGGCTGGAGAACTCTTTAGTTTCTACCTAAAAGACTTTCCTGAACGTGTAGATCCTTATTGTGGGCTCTTACTTAGGTTTTTGTTATCCAGTTGATCAGATTTTTATTTTTATCCTGGCGTTTAACATTTCAGATGAATAACCTCTTTGGGGAAGATTTTCCTAATTTCTTTAGACTGTCTATCTTCCAAAACATTTTAGATAGATCTTTAGATTTCGATCTAGATCTATGACACTTTGCCCCTTTCTTTTCGCCTTTGAGTATTTTATGATTTTGATTTTTTTTTTTTTTTTTT